GTATTTGGCTAAGGTGTATGTAAACTTCAGACTTCAACTGTAGCTTCTCGCTGATCCTCACGGGCCTGCTACAGTGTTCAACATTGCTGTTACAATCTCTCTGTCAACTCAGCAACTCCTTTTTTTAAATATACCATCTCACCTAGCCTCGGAACCCCTCTTCCATTTTTCAACAAGGAAAAGCAGTTTGATTGATCTTGTTTGTGACGCCAAATGTAACAGGTAGGAAATACCTGTTTTTGTAGGGTTTTTCTCAGATCAGCCTTGGGAGGTTGAGCAACAAACAGAGCTGTGTCCCTGTTGCCCAACACATTTCACTTCACCACAGTACTTAGTAATAGTGGCACCTTTTCTAATAGTATAGGGTGAAAAGTTTAAAGTAACTCACTGTATTCAGCCCCTCAGATTATGTGGTTAATATCATGGAGCATCCACCTGCAATACATCCAAATACCTAAAACAGGTTAGGACCCCTACACCAAGGCAGTAGTAATGAAAAGACAGTTCTGCTTTAAAATAATGAAAATATATTGTCAGTTTTAAGCAACAACACAACAGGCACAATTTCACAGTTCACAGAATAGCCGACTAGGACTAGGCCATTCCAAGACATTTAAATGTTTCCCCTTAAACCACTCTAGTGTTGTTTTAGCAGTATGCTCTGTCCCAGTCACAAATCTCTGGAAGACTGAAACAGGATTCCCTCAAGAATTTCCCTGTACTTAGCGCCATCCATCATTCCTTCAATTCTGACCAGTTTCCCAGTCCCTGCCGATGAAAAACATCCCCACAGCATGATGCTGTCACCACCATGCTTCACTGTGGAGATGGTGTTCTCGGGGTGATGAGAGGTGTTGGGTATGCGCCAGACATAGCGTTTCCCTTGATGGCCAAAAAGCTCAATTTTAGTCTCATCTGACCAGTGTACCTTCTTCCATATGTTTGGGGAGTCTCCCACATGGCTTTTGGCGAACACCAAACGTGTTTGGCCACTCTTCCGTAAAGCCCAGCTCTGTGGCATGTACGGCTTAAAGTGGTCCTATGGACAGATACTCCAATCTCCGCTGTGGAGCTTTACAGCTCCTTCAGGGTTATCTTTGGTCCCTTTGTTGCCTCTCTGATTAATGCCCTCCTTGCCTGGTCCGTGAGTTTTGGTGGGCGGCCCTCTCTTGGCAGGTTTGTTGTGGTGCCATATTCTTTCCATTTTTTAATAATCCGTCCTCTTTCTCCAACGATAATACTTTCTGAATTCGGCTCCTCTCTACTCTTTATCGTTCTCTAACTCTCCTCCTTTTGCAACACACTTGCCTACGCACTCATTTGCGGCAACTCTCCCCAGCACCTTTTTGAGCCGGCGTGACATCACCTGGATCATAGTAGTCTTGGAAAGTCCCTGAACAGAACAGCAAAATCCATATCCCTAGACTCCGACACACACATATTTCGCCACGGAGCATGTTCTGATTGGCCAGTGAGGGGCCAAGCCTCGACACACACACAACTTGTTTATTCATCAAAACTCAACCCTTTTGTGCCAACGCCAGCAATTGCACCGATAATTGTGAGTATTTCTGACACACCCCTGAACTTATAGTGCTACCGCCTGGCTTAGATTAACCATTGTGTTACATTTGTTAAAATAGAACCTTCTGTGATTGACCAAAGTAATTTTTTCGTAATTCGTACATATTATGTAGAAATGTGACTTTAACTCTGGTGATCAATTCTATGTACCGTACCTTACAATCAATTATTTCTACAGAATTCTGAAGATATTTGAACATTTTGTTTCATGGACTTAATGGACACCTACACTATATATACAAAAGTTTGTGGACACACCTTCAAATTGTTATTGTGAAGTGGAAACATCTAGGAGCTACAACGGTAGGCCACACAAGCTCACAGAACAGGACCGCCGAGTGCTGAAGCATGTAGCACATAAAAATCGTCTGTCCTCAGTTGCAACACTCACTGCCGAGTTCCAAACTGCCTCTGGAAGCAACGTCAGCACAAGAACTGTTTGTTGGGAGCTTCATGATATGGGTTTCCATGGCCGACCAGCCGCACACAAGCCTAAGATCACCATGAGCAATGCCAAGCGTCGGCTGGAGTGGTGTAAAGCTCGTCGCCATTAGACTCTGGAGCAGCGGAAACGTGTTTTCAGGAGTAAACAATCATGCTTCACCATCTGGCAGTCCAACGGACGAATCTGGGTTTGGCGGATGCCAGGAGAACGCTACCTGCGCCAATGCATAGTGCCAACTGTAAAGTTTGGTGGAGGAGGAATAATTGGGGTGGGGCTGTTTTTCATGGTTCGGGCTAGGCCCCTTAGTTCCAGTGAAGGGAAATCTTAATGCTACAGCATACAATGACATTCTAGATGATTGTGTGCTTCCAACTTTGTGGCAACAGTTTGGGGAAGGCCCTTTCCTGTTTCAGCATGACAATGCCCCGTGCACAAAGCGAGGTCCATACAGAAATGGTTTGTTGAGATTGGTGTGGAAGAACTTGACTGGCCTGCACAGAGCCCTGGCCTCAACCCCATCAAACACCTTTGGGATGAATTGGAACGCCGACTGCGAGCCAGGCCTAATCGCCCAACATCAGTGCCTGACCTCACTAATGCTCTAGTGGCTGAATGGACGCAAGTCCCCGCAGCAATGTTCCAACATCTAGTGGAAAGCCTTCCCAGAAGAGTGGAGGCTGTTATAGCAGCAAAGGGGGAACAACTCCATATTAATGCCCATGATTTTGGAATGAGATGTTCGACGAGCAGGTGTCTACATACTTTTGGTCATGTAGTGTTGGTTTGGCAAAATGCCTGTATGAGCAACATCAATATCATGTCCACGTGGTTCACTGTATTTAAGTGACATTGACACAGCAAGCAGGGATCATGCAGATATCAATCTGTTCTGGCTCCACAATAAAAATATCCAATCATTCCCAAACTATATGACTCGTTCTGATCCGTTGGCGATCTGATATCCCCCATTTAGCCTTAATCCTGTCACATGGCTGAGGCCAGGGGAGCCCTGGGAGTTAGAGCAGGCTTTTTATAACCTGACCTGCAAAGGCCAATGGTGGCCATTTTTATCTGACTCGCTAACATTGATACTTGCTTCTCAATGGTATACATTTAGTCATGTATGATGTCATGTTTGATATGATGTTTCATATCCAAGAGGAAAGAAGGGAATGGAGAAAAGGAATGCTGTTACAAAGTGCTCAAGGTTTAACATTTACTATTAGAATTTTCATTAGAGGATCAACTGTCAAATTCAGGCAGATTGACAGTAGATTGTAAGGTTATGTGTGGGAAATTATATATATATTATGAGATAAATAGAACGTTTTAAAAGTGTTAAACAATGTGAGGAGTTTTAAGAAACAGATGCAAATAATTGTATGGTTCTGTCTGTTAGCTCAAATGAAGAACACGTTGTCCCATGCAGTCAACAATGTGTCTCTATGCTCAGAGTTCAGTGTGTGTTTGTGTGTGTGTGTGTTTGTGGACGTGTTTAACTATTCTTGTGGGGACCAGAAGTGTGTGTGTGTGTGTGTGTGTGAGAGAGAGAGAGAGAGAGAGAGAGAGAGAGAGAGAGAGAGAGAGAGAAGAGATGAAGAGAGAGCTCTCGATCGCGATCGCGATCTCTCTATCCTCTCTCGCTCTATCAGCGTCTCTCGCGCTCTCCTCTCATCGCTCTCTCTCTCATCTCCTCTCTCTTCTCTCGCTCTCTCATCTCGCTCTCTTCTCTCTCTGCTCTCTCTCCTCTCTCGCCTCTTTTTCGTTCTCCTGCGAGGCAATCGATTCGAGTAAGCTCTCTGAAGTGAACTGCTGATACTGGGAGACAGAGAGAGAAAGAATCAAGAGAGCTCTCTTTGTTGACCTAGTTCTTTGCAAGGCCATTGTTTACTCTACTCGACTACTTACAACTCTTGATCCCTCCCTTGTTTTCAATAAATTGTGGTTTGTTGAAAACAAAAGGTATGTGGATGAGGGATGTTTGAGTGGTTGTGTGGGTATGAGGTGTATGTAATGGTGTATGAGTGTGTTGGTGGCAATGAGTGTGTGTATGAGTGTATGAATGTGTGTATGAGTGTGTGCATGAGTGTGTGTATGAGTGTGTGCATGAGTGTGTGCATGAGTGTGTGTATGAGTGTGTGTATGAGTGTATAAGTGTGTGTATGAGTGTGTGTATGAGTGTATAAGTGTGTGTATGAGTGTGTGTATGAGTGTATGTATGAGTGTGTGCATGAGTGTGTGTATGAGTGTATGTGTGAGTGTATGTATGTATGAGTGTGTGTATGAGTGTATGTATGAGTGTGTGTATGAGTGTATGTATGAGTGTGTGTATGAGTGTGTGCATGAGTGTGTGTATGAGTGTATGTATACGTGTATGAGTGTGTGTGTGTATGATTGTGTGTATGAGTGTGTGTATGAGTGTATGACTGTGTATGAGTGTGTGTATGAGTGTGTGTATGAGTGTATGTATGAGTTTATGTATGAGTATGTGCATGCGTGTGTGCATGAGTGTGTGTATGAGTGTATGTGTGAGTGTATGTATGAGTGTGTGTATGAGTGTATGTATGAGTGTGTGCATGAGTGTATGTATGAGTGTGTGTATGAGTGTATGAATGTATGAGTGTATGAGTGTATGTATGAGTGTGTGTATGAGTGTATGTATGAGTGTATGTATGAGTGTGTGTATGAGTGTATGTATGAGTGTATGTATGAGTGTATGCAGACAGATGCTCTTCTCTTCTTTCTTCTCATCATCTCGTCTGTTTAGTCAACAGAACTCAATGGGCCCCCGAAAGTCACAGGTCGACACCAGGCCAAATATAGAGAGCCATAAAGCCTCTTAGGAGAGAACCTTCTTACGATTCCCTTTCCGTGAACAGCATCTGCAAATAGACCACACAAAGATCCTTAAGCCAAAATCCCTCCCAGGTATTTAATTCTGAATGAGTAATTACTGGGTGTGTCAGTGTGTCTTTGGTCTGCGGGTACGTGTGGTGTAGTCGCTCATCACACCCTGGCTTTGGAGCGAGTCGCACACTCACACCGACACGCACACTCAGAAATACACTGCACCGAGCAAGGGAACCGCTGAAGAACCCAGTCGCGTAGGGGGGACAGATCAGACGAAGCCGCCAAGATGTGTGACATGGGGGGATTGGATAACCTGGTGGCCAACACGGCCTACCTGAAAGCCCAGGGTGGCGACGACAAGGAGATGAAGAAGCGTCGCCGAAGTCTATCATTACCCAAGCCCGAGCAGTGTACCGCCATCCGGGAAACTGTGGATAACAACTTTGAGTCGCTTTGCGAGAGGCAGCCGATCGGCAAGAAGTTCTTCCGGCAGTTCCTGACTTCTACCCCAGAGTACATCAATGCCGCTGAGTACCTGGACGAGCTGAATGACTGGGATCTGGCGGAAGGCGCTGACAAGGACAAGCAGAGGACGAACATGATGAACAAGTTCTGCAACGCCGCCTCCAAGAACTTCCTGACATACCTCACTGGGGAGGTAGCCGACAAGTGCAAGGCAGTGACGGACAAGGACTTTGATGAAGTGATGAATGTTAAGGTGAAGGAAGCCACACGGGAGTTTCTGAAAGGCAAACCGTTCACGGATTACCAAACTAGCCCCTTCTTTGACAAATTTCTGCAGTGGAAGGAGTACGAGAAGCAGCCCATCAGTGATAAAACCTTCTATGAGTTCAGAACTCTGGGCAAGGGAGGTTTCGGAGAGGTAAGCATGCAACCAATACAGCAGCAAGATGTCTTGGCAACATGTGCAAAATGACTACGTGTCAGTAATATGTATCGGCAATATTATCTATTTAATGAATATGTAAAACCTTTGTGATCACAGGACAATGCACAAAATAGCTAGGCACAAAATAAAGAATTAATCCTATGTAGTCTTTCCCATGGTTTCACTGATGCACAGTGTCTATTAGTACAAAATACACCTCAGTTAGTCTTTGCAAAGAACTAATCTATCTCTCTAAAAGTTGACCCACAGTTCTTAGCTCTTAATCAGTTTCATCCCACCTTACTCCTCTATGCATACTTTCAAGCTTGTATCATTATCGAGTTGTTCCGAAAGATGAGAATTGTCTAAAAACCAAATGTCTCCCTGTTAGAGCACTGGGGCAGTATCAAAGCTTAGTGTCATGAGGTGGCATTTATACAACCCTTAGGGAACTTTGCTGAGGTATTCAGGAGTCCTCCTAACCCATGGCCTCCCTCTGTCCAGGTATGTGCCGTACAGGTGAAAAACACAGGCCAGATGTACGCCTCCAAGAAGCTGTGCAAGAAACGCCTGAAGAAGAAACATGGGGAGAAGATGGCCCTACTGGAGAAGCAGATCCTGGAAAAGGTCAACAGCCTGTTCCTTGTCAACCTGGCCTACGCCTACGACAACAAGACCCATCTGTGCCTTGTCATGACCCTGATGAATGGCGGTGACCTCAGGTACCACATCTATTACGTCAGTGAGAAGACCAAGGGTATCGAGATGCCACGCATCATCTACTACACAGCGCAGATCTGCACAGGCATCCTTCATCTGCATGAAATGGATATCATATACCGTGATATGAAGCCAGAGAACGTGCTGCTGGACAGCTTTGGCCAGTGCCGACTCTCTGATCTGGGTCTGGCCGTGGAGCTGCCCGCTGGAAAGACCATCTCCCAGAAGGTAAGCCTGTTGAAGTTGGATTTTCAAGAACTTGTAGTTGACTGTGACAATGGGAAACTATCAAAAGTCGGTAGCAGTAGGGATGGTGGAGAATGAGTATGAAGAGATGATGAGAATGTCATGACAATGAAGGCAATAAGACAGAGAGTTGATGACCTGAAAGGTTCCTTTATGATTGCGATCTGATAGCAAGCTTGCAGAATTGACCTTTTCAACATAGTGTGACAATTTGAATGGTTAAAAGTGTCTGTGGCATTTGCAAGGGCCTTCTGATGAATTGTCAATGATGTGTTACTGACAGCAACAGCTTGAGGTTAAAAGTCAGGCTGGAGTGTTTATATCTGAGCAGAAGCGACATGCTATGTCTCACTAAAAGGATGAGCAGTCAATTAATATGGGAGGGAGTGGGTGAGTTTATGATTAGACCATGGTATTGTCAAATCAAATCAAATTGTATTTCTCGCATGCTTCGTAAACAACAGGTGTAGACTAACAGTGAAATGCTTACTGACGAGTCCTTCCCAAACAATGCAGAGAGAAAAATAGAACAATTATAGAAACAAATTATATCATGGGGAATAAATACACAATGAGCAAATAATACTTATATACAGGGTACCAGTACCGAGTCGATGTGCATGGATACGAGGTAATTGAGGTAGATATGTACATACAGTGAGTGTACAAAACATTAAGGACACCTGCTCTTTCCATGACAGACTGACCAGGTGAATCCAGGTGAAAGCTACGATCCCTTATTGGTGTCACTTGTTAAATCCACGTCAATCAGTGTGGATGAAGGGGAGGAGACAAGTTAAAGAAGGATTTTTAAGCCTTGAGACAATTGAGACATGTATTATGCTCAACATTTTCCTGTGTGTATCAAGAATGGTCCACCACCTAAAGGACAACCAACCAACTAGACACAACTGTGGGAAGCATTGGAGTCAACATGGGCCTGCATACCTGTGGAATGCTTTCAACACCTTGTAGAGTATATGCCTCGACGAATGGAAGCTGTTCTGAGGGCAAAAAGGTGTTGGGGGGGGGGGGGGGTGCAACTCAATTTTAGGAAGGTGTCCTTAATGTTTTGTACACTCAGTGTATAGGAAGGGGTAAAGTGACTAGGCAACAGGATAGATAATAAACAGTAGCAGCAGCATATGTGAAAAGAGTTATAAAGGTATATGCAGATAGTCTGGGTAGCTACACTACATGACCAAAAGTATGTGCACAACTGCTCGTCAAACATTTCATTCCAAAATCATGGGCATTAATATGGATTTGGTCCCCCTTTTCCTGCTATAACAGCCTCCACTCTTCTGAGAAGACTTTCCACTAGATGTTGGAACATTGCTGCGGGGACATGCGTCCATTCAGCCACAAAAGCATTAGTGAGGTCGGGCACTGATGTTGGGCGATTAGGCTTGGCTCAAAGTCGGCGTTCCAATTCAACCCAAAGGTGTTCGATGGGGTTGAGGTCAGGGCTCTGTGAAGGCCAGTCAAGTTCTTCTACACCGATGTTGACAAACCATTTCTGTATGGACCTCGCTTTGTGCACAGGGGCATTGTCATGATGAAACAGGAAAAGGCCTTCCCCAAACGATTGCCACAAAGTTGGAAGCACAAAATCATCTAGAATGTCATTGTATGCTGTTGCGTTAAGATTTCCCTTCACTGGAACTAAGGGGCCTAGTCCGAACCATGAAAAACAGCCGCAGACCATTATTCCACCTCAACCAAACTTTACAGTTGGCACTATGCATTGGGGCAGGTAGCGTTCTCCTGGCATCCGCCAAACCCAGATTCGTCACTCCAGAGTCCAATGGCGGCGAGTATTACAGCACTCAAGCCGACGCTTGGCATTGCACATGGTGATCTTAGGCTTGTGTGCGGCTGGTCGGCCATGGAAACCCATTTCATGACGCTCCCGACGAACAGTTCTTGTGCTGACGTTGCTTCCAGAGGCAGTTTGGAACTCGGTAGTGTTGCAACCAAGGACAGACGATTTTTACGCGCTATGTGCTTCAGCACTCGGCGGTCCCGTTCTGTGAGCTTGTGTGGCCTACCACTTCGCGGCTGAGCCGTTGTTGCTCCTAGACGTTTCCACTTCACAGTAACAGCACTTACAGTTAACCTGGGCAGCTCTAGCAGGGCAGAAATTTGACGAACTGACTTGTTGGAAAGGTGCCATCCTATGACGGTGACACGTTGAAAGTCACTGAGCTCTTCAGTAAGGCCAATCTACTGCTAACGTTTGTCTATGGAGATTGCATGGCGGTGTGCTCGATTTTATACACCTGTCAGCAACGGGTGTGGCTGAAATAGCCGAATCCACTCATTTGAAGGTGTGTCCACATACTTTTGTATATATAGTGTATTTGGTTAACTATTTAGCAGTCTTTATGGCTTAGGGGTAGAAGCTGTTCAGGGTCCTGTTGGTTCCAGACTTGGTGCATCGGTACCGCTTGCCGTGCGGTAGCAGAGAGAACAGTCTATGACTTGGATGGCTGGAATCTTTGCCCATTTTTCTCCCTGCCTAGGATGAGCTATTAGATGATGGGGCTAAAGTTGTTTTCCCTGGAAATGGAGTCCTGCCAGGGTTAGGGTTGGTAACTTTTGACCCCATTTATATACTCTCTGGACCCTCTCTCTGTCTCTGATTACTTGATCATTCAGGATCTGTCGAAGAGGAGACTCTACCTTCATTATATAATCAATTTGATCCTTAGTGGTTATTATAGCCCAGACAGTTATAGGATGAACATTTTGGGGGCTGAGTGACTGCGTTGAAAGTAGAGTTGGGGGTTTGGTTGGGTTGGGTGGGGAGTGTGTCAAGGGGTGTCCTCTTGCAACCACCTGAACTCTACAGTGAAAAGATTCTGGGATTGTTTGTGTACATGTCTGTACATGCTGTCCAGCCCCTCAACTCTTTGGATACTGCCTAAACTTATCTATAGCACCTTTGTGCTTTAAAAATAAAAATTAAAAAAATTAAAGATAAGAAAGATTTATGTAGCCTTTTGAGAATGTAGAATGGTCAAAGGGCTCTATGTAGGGTGCCTGGATGAAAAAATTGGGCCAACCAAAAACAACCTAACCAATCAAAGACACAGCACAGGCGTTTGCAAGTCAAAGAACAACAAAAACAGATAGTTTAGAAGCAACTCTTTTGGTTAAGTCAACCATTTTACTCAGAGTAGACAAGGCTAATTATGTTAATTGTTAGAATTGTGTTGTTACCTGGGAGTTTAACTGATACTTGATGAAAGATGCATATTTGGAAGACTTTTGCCTGTGCTAGTTCCTAAGATGCTGTGTGTACGTGTATCAATCACGTGAACCAGACTACCATTAGCTTTCCTGTAAAATGATTAGTCACAGAGTTTTACAGATTGGGTCATCTCTGCAGGCCAATAGTGAGTCTCACTCATTGTGGCAAAGAGTAAGTTGCAGGCTCTATAGAAGCCCAGTAAGCTCATTATCCAGTGCTCTTCTCTGGTCCTCCTTTTGCAGACCAGAGAGCTGTGGCTAACCCCCCAGAGGTTTGGCTGGCTTTGGCCTTCTAAGCCTCTTACTTAGCAGGCATTACACAAATCTGTTCCCTGATCAGACTGGCAAAATCAGGTAAACCATACATACAGTTTGTGTGTATTAATGAATGTATGTTTAGCAGTGTCATTTCTTGACTATGCAGTGTATTAGTGAGCCCAATAAAATAATTTTGCTTGTGGGGTTTAGGTTCAATTGAGTTTAGCTAACACTTGAGGACATATTATGGACATATGCATTCTCCTTAACTGTATGCATATCAAGTCTCATGTAAAAGCATATATATCCACATTGTTGGGCTGTTTTAAAGTGATTAAGACTTACATTTTACTATTAAAAGTTTAAAAGATCATGCAGAGTACCCTAAGTACTCAATGGAGTAAGCAAGGTGACCTCTCCCTTGTCCATTGCCCTTGGTCAAGTAATTAGAGGACAACGTTTTCCCCAGCTGTTTGGCCAATGTCCACACTGCGTCAAGGCTGGACCAATCAGGTGTTTGGAGGGCTTTGATTTGACCAATCACAGGAGTATTCCATAGCTGTCCTTGAATCAATTTAAGTCCTCATCGTGTCACACGTGCTGTCCATGTGGAAGACAGCTCCAATGATCTGCCAATGAAATGAAAAATCCAATGCAATCCATGTTTTGGAGAGGTGCTTTCAACGTGCTTAGCATTTAAGCCCAGGGTCACTAGTCAACTGAAGGATGGGAGTGGCAAGTCCATTCCTCTTAGATAAGTGTACAAGGAGAAACCTGGCAAGCAGGCCTGCTTAAGCTCATGTAGAATAAAAGCTAATAGACACCTGCTACCAGTCAGCCAAGGTGAAAAGCCCTTGAAATCATGCTAAAGATTACATTTATAGGGCTGTGGTAGCAAGCACACTTTGAAGGTATCATCCTCTACAGCAGGGTTCCCCAACTGGTGGCCCACAGGCCGAATTTGGCCCACGGGTGGTTTTATTTGACCCCCCCCCCCCCCCCCCCAAGTTTTCGAAGCAAAAATAAATAAATCATTTGTATTTTATTTTCATTGTTGGCCATAAAAGACTGTAAAAACACCAGGAAATCAGCTCCAAGTGATTTTAATAGAGAGATACATGTGATCATATACAAATGTAAGCAAGGTTTGAAATTATTTTGTTTTAGTCAAATATTATATCTGGATTATTGCCCCCCGACCAGCCGCTCAAGAAAAAATCGGCCCGCGGCTGAATCTAGTTGATGATCCCTTCTCTACAGTACAAGACCACTGGTCTCATCATTCTCAACAGGATGTATTACTCCTCACATTTGTAATGCTATGATTGTGCATTGTTATCCATATAGATGTGTGTGTGTGTGTGTGTGTGTGTAGAAAATGTGCCAAACTAAAACTAAAACGGATATTTCAATCATACCGTACGATGATGAATTGTCCTCTTATTGTCTCCTTCATCTTTCTCCCCTTCTCCTTGAATCTCTCTCCTACATCCCCTACCCTGTCCCAGGCTGGAACCGGAGCGTACATGGCCCCTGAGATCCTACAGGATGTTCCCTACAGGACGTCAGTGGACTGGTGGGCCCTGGGGTGCAGCATCTACGAGATGGTGGCTGCCTACACCCCATTCAAGGGTCCCGAATCCGGGAAGCAGAAGGTGGAGAAGGAGGAGGTGCAGCGTCGCATCATCAACGATGAACCCCCGTGGGAGCACAAGAACTTTGACGCGCCCACCAAGGCCATCATCCAGGAGTTCCTTAAGAAGAAGACTGATGAACGCCTGGGCTGCAAGTAAGAGCATCGGTCCGTCCAGGCTACGACTAATATTTGCAATAATAACAATTCTCTATTTTCTACTGATGTTGTCATTTATGAAGAAACAGCCCAATCAAGTCAGGTAGCTCACCATTGCTGGCAAAATAGCATTTTGGCTAGCTGGCTAGCTTGATGGCAAGGGTTGTGGTCAATTCCTTTTCAATTCCAGACAATTTCCAGTTCCAAATGTTCCTTGTTGAAAAGCATTGCAGATAATTGGAATTGGAATTTCAGTGTACTTTCCTGAATTGACAGGAATTGATATGGAATTGATCCCAACCCTGTTGATGGCTAACATGCTAGCATGTTGATACAACATAGATTTTCAACTCAGTTGTCAGTCAACTACCTACATTACAATTGATCAAGGCAGTATCAAGACTATCCAATGCACTCTGCAAACAACTAGTCAACTATGTAGTAAGCCTAGTTAGTCTCCACCTGCCAGTATGATCCTCATGCGGAAATGTCAAAATTCTCTCCTCCACAGGGGAGGAGGCGAGGACCCCCGAAAACATGAGTGGTTCAAGGCCATCAACTTCCCTCGTCTGGAGGCTGGTTTGATCGACCCCCCTTGGGTGCCCAAGCCCAACGTGGTCTACGCCAAGGACACTGGCGACATTGCTGAGTTCTCTGAGATCAAGGGCATTGTGTTCGATGCCAACGATGAGAAGTTCTTCAAGGAGATTGGCACGGGAGCCGTGGCCATTCCATGGCAACAGGAGATGATCGAAACGGGACTGTTTGACGAGCTCAACGACCCCAACAGGAAAGAGTCTGCTGGGGGGGGTGACGACGAGGGAAAGTCTGGCACATGCACGCTGCTGTGAGCAACCAAAATTGGCACATATATACACCAGTATATGGCACCAACACATAAACTGATTCACTAAAATTACAACTACAAAAAATTACCCACCAAAATAATTATACAAGGGAGGAGAGCAGCAGGAGAGAGAGAGATGAGGTATTCTTCCCAGGAACTGGTTGGTTACAATTGATTTTAGTAGCCAAATGTTCCCTGAGCTGCAGAGCAAATAGGAGGGTAAAAGGAGGCTTTACCAAGAATAGTATTGTCTCTTCAGATTGCATCTACTCCCAGATGTTTCACATGATGTAGTAGTACCCTCCTGGCCAACAGGGGTCGCTAAAAGTTAAATATAACAAATTCATATTGTGGATACAAAAACATGATATGATTCATGGATAAATACAGGCCTCTCGTTACATAGAGCCTGCACCAGAAAGGTTTGCATATGTAGACTGCAATGCTAGCCCTCAAACCTAGGCAAGGAATATGGTTGGGATCTCGTTCTTGATTACGATGCATTAATTGAATTTGATACAGCCACGTTTTTTTTCCCGCTACATTCCTTTTTGCCTCTCTAAAGGCAGAAGTGATATATTTTTTTGTCAATGTCTCTATGGACACATCACCTTATTACAAATTTCACCAGGAAGCAATCAAAAGCAAATAAATAATCATTTCTACCAACAGAAGTTATTTCAAATGAAATGTGGCAGAGGTAATGTTTACTTACCTACAGTGACTCTTCACCTTTAAACCCAGTGAAGTCAATCACTAGATTTCCAAGAAGGTGGACTTTACAGTCCAGCATCTAGTTTTATTTTCAAAATGGGTTGTATATGAATAAAAATATGTATATCTATGCACTGAGAGGGGAGAAATCCACAGATTAGGTGCTAGTCAGGACTGGATGAATGCTCAACTCTTGTGGTTGGGAAGGTTCTATGCCCCGGTTTGTCAGGAGAGAGGAATTTAGAGAAAAGCCAGTTGGACACTATATTCGAAAGTGGAACATTGAGAGGAGTTGGGCTAGGCCGACAATGTGTTCTTGTACAAGGAATATCTATTCAGCCCCTCCATAATGTTCCCTGAGATATGTGTGCGCAACTTTAACTGGAAAATTGCTTCCATTGATGAGATTTGTCTGACGTTCGACAAATCTAGCTAGCTAGCTTTGGAAACTTTGAACCAAAAAATAATCACAGTTCCCTTCTGTCTTGTCTCAAGACTTATTTCATATAACTTTAAAATGACAAACTTTCTAGATCTTGACCAGTGTTATGTTTTTACAGTAAATATGTAAATTATACTGTGAATATAAATATGATAAATATACTTGTAAATATAATATGAGATGAAAACATTACATATGCTACTGTAGGAATGTCAGACATTTACCAGGGACTCGCTTGAATCTTGAATGATTTGAATAAAAAAAGAGATGTCTTTTACAGCTTGTGTTTTTTTTACTACTTCCTGTGGTACTTCACTATTGTACTTGTGTGTTCTTGTGTGACAGCACTTATCATTCATTTCGCTCAAAGTGCTGCATTGGGAATCAAACAGCTGAACATAAGATTTAAGCGCTACCCCTCGTGAACTTGGACAAAAGATCCCCTTGTTCTAAGAGATTCAAAGTCCCACAATGTCCATCTGTAGCCCCTACATGTTACATATATAACCCGGGGGAAAGCACTGCAGCAGTCTTGAGTGAAACCCAAAAATATTGACTGCATTAATCCCATTAGGTAGAGATCACAAGCAGGCAGATTTCAGCGTGCTACTCTTAGCTGATAAGATGATAATCAGCCTTACCCCCAGCATACTTTAAAAACCCTAGAGTCGATGTCTGCCCCCAGCTGACATTTAAATTAGCATAATAGAAAAATCCCCATCAAAATCTGTTTGTTTAAGCTAGATATATCTGTTTTTTGCATGGGCTGCAAAAATCCAAAAATGTGCAATCCACCGCATCCGCCGACAGGGGCCTTCCTCATCTGTGGTGGAAGGTAGCAGAGCTACAGTAGGGTTTGTCAGACCAGGAGACATCCCGAAAATCGGTCTTCTCACAAAAATGTCTGTAGCGTCTGAACGGTTAAATCAACCTCTAATCTCCCAGGACATAAAGGGAAGCCTCAGGAGGATAGATGCATTACAAAATGGCGTTTAGCTACTGAACAAGATAGGTGGGGAAAATAGAGCTCAAACCTGAGAGATTATTAGTCATGTTTGTTTAGGCGACCAAATCAATAGACTACTGGAGAGGGAGTAAGCACAGGGTGAAAGAGACGTGGAAAAGGAAAGAAAGAGTGGGAGAGAGGAGGCAGAGCAAGAGATGTATAAAGAGAAAACAGTGCGTTTTTTAAATCCATTTTTGAGTGAAACAGAATGGGCGGAGGGGACATCCCTGACATTTGCCCCAGTGCGGCATTTCTCTCCCTTGCTGCAGAGACGATGTTCCAAGGGTAGGGCTTAAGGGCCGTTAAGGGAGTGACGAAGGTAGAAGAAGCTACTCGAGCTAAAAGCAGAGAGATTATCTGTTAAGGAGTGGGACTCAGGTATTGACAGCTATTGGAGGTGAAGGACAGTGCCACAAACTGTTGGATCCTAGAGTTCAACATACTATAGCCATAGCCTGTCGCAGGGATTTTCCTGATTTATTAGAAATTCTAGCTTTTCTGATCATGACATTATCCTCCAAGATTGAAATTGACTTATTCCCAAACCTGTATCCTATTTTTCCTGATGTTCTATGTCTAATCACATCCCTGCATCAGCCTTTGAACATAGGCCTATTATATAAGGAGTGTAATACCTTGGCTAAACATGTAGCTAATAAAGATAGCAAGTGCTGGTTTATGTGTAATGTTCTGAACATATTAGTCTGCTCCAACAGTGTCACAATGACTGAAATCAATAGCAAGCAAGAGAGAAACATTATACTTCTCTCAGCAAGCAAGCCCCTTCAATTAATCTATTCCTCTATATCACAGTTTTTTAAGGTAAATTACTTGTGGTAATCAAAGTAATTAGCTAATTGCCAACCAAGCTACTTTAATTGAAGCTGATGCATATGATCTACTACTCATGAAAATGGGTGCTTGAACCCAATTATTGCCCGAGAGCAAACCATTTGGCTAATACTATGCTAGATATCACCACTGGGTGGCACCATCGCAAAGGGGATGTTACAGCAAGCAAGGAAGGACTCTTCAGTCGACGGATCTCTGCCTTAATGCTGCTGCCCTCTTGTGGCTAAAGTAGAATATCACATGTTATTTGCTCCTGGACAATCAATAAATAACCACACTTAAGAGGACCACAGCTTAGTTTTCTCCCCTGCCCCCCCCCCCCCCCCCCCCCCTCCCACCAAATCACCTTTTAATCCACAATTGTTGCACAGGTCTTAAGGCATCCTACAGATGAAGTTGTTCCTTCAAGATGTAGGTTCCATTTCAGACTGTATAAACATAGCTTTGAATATGATCATATCCTGTAAATATTTGTTTAAATTATTTCTTTACAGTGCTCAGACATTGTGTTCTGTGACAGAAAAAAAATACAGTGTGAATCCATTAAATATATACATTGAGAAAGACAGACACAGATGAACGGACCGATAGAGAGTAGGAGAGAGAACATATAGACAAACAGACAAGCATTCAGACCCAAAGATAGCTATACATACAAGGATATACAGTACATAGATACAATGGATTGCATTTACACAGCGCTTTCTCACAGGTCTCCAAGCGCTTTACATTGTGTGTGTGTTGTCTGTTGGGGTGGTGTGTGTGTGCGTGAGGTGCGTATAAGTGATGTGGTGTGTGTGCGTGTGGAGGATAACTCATCCACCACCAATGTGTAGCACCCACCTGGGTGATGCACAGCAGCCATTTTGCACCCGAATGCTCACCAAACATTGGCTATTACAGTGGCGAGGTAAGGGGTAGAGTAAACAAACACATAGACATGCAGCCGGACAGACAGACGGCACAAGACTGGGTTGTGGTCAGACCACACCACACATCCCTATCTACAGTTCCCTATTATAATATGACGAGGTTCAAAATGTGGTCCCAAGAGGAAAAGGGTTCTCAAAGACATTTAATTGTTGAGGGCATCTGGGTTTGACAGTGTTTAACTGGGTTTGACTCTATGTGGTTGACCTTATGAGTTAGTGGTCCCTATGTGATTTTGAGGAATAATTGTTTGTTCTGGTTTCAGATGAGAGGGTCAACTGTAAACATGGTTGTATTGGCAGTGGATGACTGAAAGTGAAATACAGATTGAGGTTTACTCCTGACTGTTGATCCAACCCTTGGCACTAAGTATGGATCTCGGTTAAGCTTACCACATCTAAATTCCAATCTAAACCATTGAGAATAGAAAATAAGCTCTGATCATAGATCAACACTAGAGCACTGGGTCAGACAACAAAAGCAGACTAATAGAAGAGAATGATGGCCGTTAGGTTGGTGAGTCATGAAAGACTCCTGCTAGAATGAGATAATTAAGGATAGGAAAAAGATGATGTCATACTATAGTAAACATAGAAGTAAACAAGGGAACTAGATGTTCAATTGAATTTGGCAGGATTACTGGTTTTTCCAGGAGATAGTTGAAAATTGATGACATCACTGCCCTATCCTTCTTTGATCCAATCCCAAACCGATCTCTCACCCTCTACCACTAGGCACTATTCTAGGCCCTTTTTGGGTGTGATGTACTGTAGATCTAAAATGAATGGTATCAGCTATAATATGGTAATTGCTCCATCTAGCACTCTTGTTATGCTTACCTGGCTTACCTGGTTAAATAAAGGTTAAATAAAATAAATAAATAAACACATATCGAACCCTATCAGAAATACAAGATGGTGTCAACAATAGCCTAAGAGAAAGGTATTCAAATCCAGGATTCGGGGATCACAGCACTACTGGTTTTTAATCTTTCCCTATCACACCTAACCAGAGACTGACCTGTAACACCAGATGAGTAGACTATCTGGCCAATCAATGAACTACCAAGGTGATATGAAAAATACTAGATTTGAATGTTCCTCGCCTAGGATATGGAGAAAAGGTGGAGGGATTGGTTTGGAATTAGGCCCATCTTATTCTAATAGGAATCGTCCGGGGGAGGTCAGAACCACATTTCTCCACACTAGCCTCCTCCTCACTACTCCCTACTCTTTGACTGTGATTCGGAAGGTGACACGGCCCAGGAACTTGTCTCGATCGTCGTTGTTGCGCAAGTCAGATCCCTCGATCCGGCATTCGATGGTCAGCTCCGTGTTGTAGTCGTCCTTGTTCAGCAACAGCTTAACTGCAACCAGGGGCTGCACATACCTCTCCTACAGACAGAGGGGGGGGGGTAATGGGAGTAGAAAGAGAGAAAGGAGATGGGAGAGAGAGAGAGATAAAGAGAGGTGGAAGGAAGGGCCAAAAAGAGGGAGGTTGAGACACACAGTAAGAGTGCAATAGAGTGGGAAAGAAAAGAGGGACAAAGTGGAAAAAAATGATAATTGACCAACAAAGACTGTTGTATACACCATACGTCCATCCAACGGTCTTCCAAATTCTTGCATCATTGTATAATAATGCTTTCCCATATAGCACCAACCAGTATGACAAGACAGAAATGGACAAATATTGACCTTTTTATCCAAACTTACGTGAAGCTTATTGCCGTAGTAAGGGAAATACATTTTATCGAACCGTCCCTCACTAGGGAAGTACTGCATCTGTACGGGGGTGTCCCTCTGAGGAGGAAAAGGAGGAAGAGAAAGAATAATAGTCAACACAGGAAAAACGATAGAACAGCAAGAATATGTATATCCTATCCCAAATCGACTGTTGGGACTTCATATAGATCTGAAAGGGTTGGATAGAACTGTTGAATATACAATACGTCCATCCAACGGTCTTTCAAATTCTTGCATCACTAGGTCAAATGCAGGGGTGAAAGTAGATTTAATTTCTTCCTGGTATGAGACCTCCTATGTGGCACATGCACAATTTTTAGTATAGTACAGACATGTAATTTAACTGTCAAAATGTATTTACCTTTTAATGGGGCAAGAACACAACCATTCATGAGGTTTTCATCTGATTGTCAAACAAATCTACCTGCACACGTTCATCCACTCATCTAAATAATTCCAGCATCTAAAATACTGTGCACCTGCCATTTGATGAATGGAAAGGGACATCTATTAAAACATCAAAAAGTGTAGGCTAATCACATTCAACGATTGTCATTACAGTATGCACACTTTTAGCCAGAATTGATTGATGCGTCCACTGCTGTCTGCGCGCATCTCGGTCCTGGCCAGTCATCTCTGCTTTCGCAAAATGTTAGTGTGCATGTCGAACCACAGCACATTTTGGAGTGTATACCACCCGTTTTCAAGCCCATTTGCTATTTTCTCATGTGGCTGACAAGTGGTAATGATAAATTATTGTGTAATAGCCTACAGTTTTCGTGCCATCTTTGTATTAATTATTGTGATAGGCTCATATTTAAGCAGTACGCTGTACCTGCACTATTTATTTTGCCGGTACTCTGTACCGGACCGGCTTACTTTCAACCCTGGTAATAGCCCTCTGATATGTTGTGTGTCATTTTTGCCATATTGCGCACATCTAGCCAATCTTTTCAGATCTATACAAGTACATATGAGTACGTAAGAATAATATATTATCTAAGATTTTGATATATTCCTAATGCTGCATACACTGTTATGTACAGTGGCTTGCAGAAGTATTCACCCCCCTCGGCATTTTTCCTATTTTGTTCACCCTCCCCCTTTTGCAAGTCTCTTGGGGTATGTCTCTATACGCTTGGCACATCTAGCCACTGGTATTTTTGCCCATTCTTCAAGGAAAAACTGCTCCAGTTCCTTCAAGTTGGATGGGTTCCGCTGGTGTACAGCAATCTTTAAGTCATACCACAGATTCTCAATTGGATTGAGGTCTGGGCTTTGACTAGGCCATTCCAAGACATTTAAATGTTTCCCCTTAAACCACTCTAGTGTTGCTTTAGCAGTATGCTTAGGGTCATTGTCCTGCTGGAAGGTGAACCTCAGTCCCAGTCTCAAATCTCTGGAAGACTGAAACAGGTTTCCCTCAAGAATCTCCCTGTATTTAGCGCCATCCATCATTCATTCAATTCTGACCAGTTTCCCAGTCCCTGCCGATGAAAAACATCCCCACGGCATGATGCAGCCACCAGCATGCTTCACTGTGGGGATGGTGTTCTCGGGGTGATGAGAGGTGTTGGGTTTGCGCCAGACATAGCGTTTTCCTTGATGGCCAAAAAGCTCAATTTTAGTCTCATCTGACCAGAATACCTTCCATATGTTTGGGGAGTCTCCCACATGCCTTTTGGTGAACACCAAACGTGTTTGCTTATTTTTTTCTTTAAGCAATGGCTTTTTTCTGGCAACTCTTCCGTAAAGCCCAGCTCTGTGGAGTGTACGGCTTAAAGTGGTCCTATGGACAGATACTCCAATCTCCGCTGTGGAGCTTTGCAGCTCCTTCAGGGTTATCTTTGGTCTCTTTGTTGCCTCTCTGATTAAGGCCCTCCTTGCCTGGTCCGTGAGTTTTGGTGGGCAGCCCTCTTGGCAGGTTTGTTGTGGTGCCATATTCTTTCCATTTGTTAATAATAGATTTAATGGTGCTCCGTGGGATGTTCAAAGTTTCTGATATTTTTTTATAACCCAAACCTGATCTGTACTTCTCCACAACTTTGTCCCTGACCTGTTTGGAGAGCTCCTTGGTCTTCATGGTGCTGCTTGCTTGGTGGTGCACCTTGCTTAGTAGTGATGCAGACTCTGGGGCCTTTCAGAACAGGTGTATATATACTGAGATCATGTGACACTTAGATTGCACACAGGTGGACTTTATTTAACTAATTATGTGACTTCTGAAGGTAATTGGTTGCACCAGATCTTATTTAGGGGCTTCATAGCTCGGGCTCCCGAGTGGCGCAGCGGTCTAAGGCACTGCATCTCTGTGCTTGAGGCGTCACTACAGACCCCCTGGTTCGATTCCAGGCTGTATCACAACTGGCCGTGATTGGGAGTCCCATAGGGCGCCGCACAATTGGCCCAGCGTCGTCTGGGTTTGGCCGGTGTAGGCCGTCATTGTAAATAAGAATTTGTTCTTAACTGACTTGCCTAGTTAAATAAAGGTTTTTTTTTAAAATAGCAAAGGGGGTGAATACATATGCATGCAACACTTTTCCGTTATTAATTTTTTAGAATTTCTTTAAACAAGTACTTTTTTTAAATTTCACTTCACCAATTTGGACTATTTTGTCTATGTCCATTACATGAAATCCAAATGAAAATCCATTTAAATTACAGGTTGTAATGCAACAAAATAGGAAAAACTCCAAGGGGGATGAATACTTTTGCAAGGAACTGTAAAACCATTAGCTTTTACCTTAAGCAACAGCTACTCTTTCTGGGTTCCATGAGAGGTCAGAGTCAATGGCCAGTTCTTATAATAACACTGGAAGTTTCTAAAAGGTTCTTATTATAACATTGGTATACTGCATCAAACAGGACCAAAAGAAGCAAAAGCGATTTGGAATAAAGCCCATAACACAATAGAGCACTTAAAAGGGGGGGGGGGGGAGACAACAAAACAACCCTGTAAGTTGCTACTACAATGTAAGTTATTTCCACAAGGTAGTAACTTACATACTGTATAAACAAATAGACTTACACATCGCTAAGCTTACCCTAAAGCTTCAACTGGAAGCATGCAGAAAAACAAAATCAAACCAAATCAGGAAAAAAGAAGACACAAATATCAACATAAACAATAAATAACAAAAATGATATAAATGTAACCAGAGTATATTGCTATTTTCAAACACAGACAAAACACACATATTGAAATTATGATGACATTTACCTTTGCTGTGCAGTTGACATAGGGATCTCCACGCGGCTTCAGCCCAATGATCTGTGAATGGAAAACCAATTAACCAATCAACAAATCAGAGAGCCACAGTCAGACAATAGGCTAATTTAAATCATTATTATCAATGTGGTCTACTCTGAGCAATCCAATGGGATAGAAACATATACAGTTGAAGTCGAAAGTTTACATACACTTAGGTTGGAGTCATTAAAACTTGTTTTTCAACCACTCCACAAATTTCTTGTTAACAAACTATAGTTTTGGCAAGTCGGTTAGGAAATCTACTTTGTGCATGACACAAGTAATTTTTCCAACAATTGTTTACAGACAGATTATTTCACTTATAATTCACTGTATCACAATTCCAGTGGATCAGAAGTTTACACACACTAAGTTAACTGTGCCTTTAAACAGCTTGGAAAATTCCAGAAAATGATGTAATGGCTTTAGAAGCATCTGATAGGCTAATTGACATCATTTGAGTCAATTGGAGGTGTACCTGTGGATGTATTTCAAGGCCTACCTTCAAACCCAGTGCCTCTTTGCTTGACATCATGGGAAAATCAACAGAAATCAGCCAAGACCTCATTTATAAAATTGTAGACCTCCACAAGTCTGGTTCATCCTTGGGAGCAATTTCCAAACGCCTGAATGTACCACGTTCATCTGTACAAACAATAGTACGCAAATATAAACACCATGGAACCACGCAGCCGTCATACCACTCAGGAAGGAGACGCGTTCTGTCTCCTAGAGATGAATGTACTTTGGTGCGAAAAGGAAAAATCAATCCCAGAACAACCGCAAAGGACCTTGTGAAGATGCTGGAGGAATCAGGTACAAAAGTATCTATATCCACAGTAAAACGAGTCCTATATCGACATAACCTGAAAGGCCGCTCAGCAAGGAAGAAGCCACTGTTCCAAAACCGCCATAAAAAGCCAGACTAATGCAAACATACGGTTTTTTGTCCAACTGCATGGTCGGGGGCTGGGGACAAATATCGTACTGTTTTTTAGAAATGTCCTCTTGTCTGTGATAGAAACTCAGACAATCATGTAAATTGTTTGGCTATTCCATTAGTGACCCACTTGGCGTTCTGTTTGGAGGAAACCATAGGAGGTTCTCTTGCTGCAAGCCTGGTGGTAAGAACACCGTATCTCAACCGTGAAGCCACTGGATTTATTCGGTGGCAGCTTGCATCATGACATTTTTGTGGGTGTGCTTTGCTGCAGGAGGATGGAAGCCTGGTGTCAGGTTTGCCTTCATCACAAACAGATGGGCCATTCGAGAGGATTAAGGAAAATATGATTGATATATTGAGGAAGCCACCATCTCAGGAAAACATCGTGAAGACAATTTAAAGCTTGTGTCGCAATGGGGTCTTCCAATTGGAACAATGACCACAAGCATTCTTCCAAATTTTTGACAAAATGGGCTTAAGGCCAACAAAGTCAAGGTATTGGAGTGGCCATCACAAAGCACCCGACCTCAATCCTATAGAAATGTGTGGGCAGAACTGAAAAAAGCGTGTGCGAGCAAGGAGGCCTACAAACCTGACTCAGTTACACCAGCTCTGTCAGGAGGAATGAGACAAAATTCACCCAATTTATTGTGGGAAGCTTGTGGAAGGCTACCCAAAACGTTTGACCCAAGTTAAACAATTTAAAGGCAATGCTACCAAATACTAATTGAGTGTATGTAAACTTCTGACCCACTGGGAATGTAATTAAATTAAATAAAAGCGGAAATAAATCATTATCTCTACTATTATTCTGACATTTCACATTCTTAAAATAAAGTGGTGATCCTAACTGACCTAAAACAGGGAATTTTTACTTGGATTAAATGTCAGGAATTGTGAAAAATTGAGTCTAAATGTATTTGGTTAAGGTGTATGTAAACTTCCGACTTCAACTTTACAAGGAGAGAGGGTGAAAAGGGACAGCAAAACATAATAATAGAGAATGGTAACAAAGAGAAGCAAATGGAAAGATCTAGATTGAGGAGGAGAGAAATCCACTATTGGCTAATGTCGTCTACTGATACATACATTGGCTCAAGGCTCTTGTGAATGTGTCCATGAACAATGTATTTGAATTGGGACTGGTGGACTACACAGCACTGCCCTGAATTTAATTGGGTCTGCACTTATCCAATGTGCGCTTCATCAGGACCCGAGTGTATTAAAGTCAATGACATGCATCCAGTGAGTATTGGCTTCATCCTAATTCTCTACAATGTTCCCAAAATGTGCACTTCCCCGTCATGGATTGAACAATGGTGGAAAATCCATCCAGCCAATGCTTAAACCAATCCAATGGTTTTAAATGACGGAGAGTGTGCAAGTACACACTTTGGGTGGAAAGTAAATTGGGAAACAAATATGAAGAGGGAAAGGAGGAGGTACCCTATTCATTTTGAGGAGGACACAGGGTCTCCCCTCAGCGTAACCGAAGGTGGAGTCGGAGAGGCCGGAGCAGAGGCTTAGATCGCTCCTCTTGAACTGACACGCCTTCCTCTGCTCGCCCACCTTGCCCTCCTGCTCAAAGTAGTCCCCCGCCACGCACGCCACGTTACTCTCCTGTTCCGTGTCATTGTACTCTGAGAAAAAACAATAATGACTTTTTGTTATTGGTCTATTAGTCTTGTGTTGCCATACCTCTAAAATCACATCGATGTCACACCTCCCTTGGAGATCTGGAGAATTTTGAATGATCGGCTGGCTCCCAGCGGCAAGATTTGATTGGATGTTACATTTCAAGAACCCTCCAACCCACATGCCCGTAGAAGTGTGCGTCACTGTTTTCCGTCCGAGTAGGACACCTTTTGTAGAGAGTTGTTGCGTATGCTAGTTTCAAGTGCTAGTTTTCAAGCGTGGCCGACAGTCTGCGATTTATATTTATTGACATTGAAAGTGGATTACACTGGTAAAGTCAAACATCACAACACGTTCTAAACCGCTCTTGTGACAAACCCACTTTTTGCCTTATTTTCGGTTTTTTAAAGACCCAAAAAATGGAGGCCATGGGAGAACCTATTCAAGTAAGTAAATAAAAATGTTAAACGTTAAAAAACGATGTATTATTAGCTAGCTGGCTACATTAGGCCACTTTGTAGGCTAACTCAACTGAGCTGCTAGCTAGCTAGCTAACTTTACACACAGTTTAGCTAAGTTAATTAAATGTCATAAGCTAGCTAACTTCCTATTAGCTACAGTGAAGGAAAAAAGTATTTGATCCCCTGCTGATTTTGTACGTTTGCCCACTGACAAAGAAATGATCAGTCTATAATTTTAATGGTAGGTTTATTTGAACAGTGAGAGACAGAATAACAACAAAAAAATCCAGAAAAATGCATATAAATTTTTTTATAAATTGATTTGCATTTTAATGAGGGAAATAAGTATTTGACCCCTCTGCAAAACATTACTTAGTACTTGGTGGCAAAACCCTTGTTGGCAATCACAGAGGTCAGACGTTTCTTGTAGTTGGCCACCAGGTTTGCACACATCTCAAGAGGGATTTTGTTCCACTCCTCTTTGCAGATCTTCTCCAAGTCATTAAGGTTTCGAGGCTGATGTTTGGCAACTCGAACCTTCAACTCCCTCCACAGATTTTCTATGGGATTAAGGTCTGGAGACTGCTTAGGCCACTCCAGGACCTTAATGTGCTTCTTCTTGAGCCACTCCTTTGTTGCCTTGGCCGTGTGTTTTGGGTCATTGTCATGCTGGAATACCCATCCACGACCCATTTTCAATGCCCTGGCTGAGGGAAGGAGGTTCTCACCCAAGATTTTGTCCTGTCCCCTTAGCAGAAAAACACCCCCAAAGCATAATGTTTCCACCTCCATGTTTGACGGTGGGGATGGTGTTCTTGGGGTCATAGGCAGTATTCCTCCTCCTCCAAACACGGTGAGTTGAGTTGATGCCAAAGAGCTCGATTTTGGTCTCATCTGACCACAACACTTTCACCCAGTTCTCCTCTGAATCATTCAGATGTTCATTGGCAAACTTCAGACAGCCCTGTATATGTGCTTTCTTGAGCAGGGGGGCCTTGCGGGCGCTGCAGGATTTCAGTCCTTCACGGCGTAGTGTGTAACCAATTGTTTTCTTGGTGACTATGATCCCAGCTGCCTTGAGATCATTGACAAGATCCTCCCATGTAGTTCTGGGCTGATTCCTCACCGTTCTCATGATCATTGCAACTCCACGAGGTGAGATCTTGCATGGAGCCCCAGGCCGAGGGAGATTGACAGTTATTTTGTGTTTCTTCTATTTGCGAATAATCGCACCAACTGTTGTCACCTTCTCACCAAGCTGCTTGGCGATGGTCTTGTAGCCCATTCCAGCCTTGTGTAGGTCTACAATCTTGTCCCTGACATCCTTGGAGAGCTCTTTGGTCTTGGCCATGGTGGAGAGTTTGGAATCTGATTGATTGATTGCTTCTGTGGACAGGTGTCTTTTATACAGGTAACAAACTGAGATTAGGAGCACTCCCTTTAAGAGTGTGCTCTTAATCTCAGCACATTACCTGTATAAAAGACACCTGGGAGCCAGAAATCTTTCTGATTGAGACGGGGTCAAATACTTATTTCCTTCATTAAAATGCAAATCAATTTGTAACATTTTTGACATGCGTTTTTCTGGATTTTTTTGTTGTTATTCTGTCTTTTACTGTTCAAATAAACCTGCCATTCAAATTATAGACTGATAATTTCTTTGTCAGTGGGCAAACGTACAAAATCAGCAGGGGATCAAATACTTTTTTCCCTCACTGTAGCTATCTTGATGTAATCATTGTAAATTAAAAACATAGTCTCCAAATGCATTTGTAGATAACAGCCATGGAAGAGGGTGAAATTTAAGCTCCAGCTGTCAGTAAAGGGAGAGTGTAGGCTACTGGATAGGGAAGGTCATTTTGTGGGAGGACAATATGAAAAGATAATCCAGTTCCATTCCCTAGAGGGGAAAACATAGAGATAATAGCAACATAATATTCAGTGCTGTCTAATTTGAGTATAATGAAGCCGGTTTCTTTGTGATGTTTTCTGTTCTCAGATATGGAAAGACGTGAAATCCTGTTTGCAAATGAAGAGAGCGTTATTATTAACATATTGGGCTTTATAATCGTGAGAGAAATTGAACTAGCTAGTAGCTAGCTAGTTATACATAGGCAGCCTACAAGGTTATTAGACTTTTCTCAAAATGAACCTCATTGTGACTAGCTACTTCTTGTCCCTCATGCTAGCCTTTACAGCCAAATATCACTTCAGAAACGTCAAAATTAAACATGGCCAGCATTGTAAATCATTTCTTCCCTCTTGCTGCAGCTTTAGCTCATCTTGAAATAACAGAGAAATGTCGTGAAAAGCAGCGTGCTGCAAACGTTCAATTTTTTTGGTCTGAAATATTTTGTAGACGTGTTTAATCCTCATGCACTGTTTCTCCTACTGCACTATCTGGTGTGCACCTTTAGAACTCCGCCCAAGCAAGGCATTTGATTGGTTTGACGTGCTGCGAGGCGTCACTGATTTACACCGGGTTCCGATCCCTCTTTAGCTGATTTCTGCCATGGAACTTCATCAGGCTTTTATTTTCTTAAGAAACAAAAATAGTTTCTTAGCAAAGAGCAATTTCTCAAGCAAGAATTTTGCTAGGACTGTCTGGGAGTGGTCTGAGTGGTGAGGAGAAAATAGAAAACTAGGGCCAAGATTCAATCAGATCAAGTGTTAACTGGTGATATCAGACACCGCATAGCGGATGTTTTGGCGGTTGTCAGAGGTGGAACTGTGTTGGAGCCTTCAAATCGATGAGCAGCTTCTCTTGAGATCATTGTCATGAAGCCACACACGCCCCACTCACGTTAGAAGTTCCGAACGAGAAAGTGTAGGCTATATAGAAATAATTACGCTAAAAATGAAAAATCATTCAACTAAATAATGAGGATTTCTATCATCCTAATCGAGGTGTAGATTACATCTCACAATCCACTGTTCGAAAACAAGGCTGCATAGGATTTCTGTTAATGCGACTCTGTGCAGCCAATGGCAATGTCCGCTTTAGGTATGATGCCGGAAGCCACTTGTGGATTTGACAGCTCTAACACAGTTCCACCTCCGACACCGTCAAAACAACCGCTATGCGGATGTTGGCTAATGCGGATCTGATTGAATCAAGCTCCAGCTGTTATTAGCAGAGAGTTTGGAACTCTCTCTCTTATTGGTCTATTAACTAATTTACCGCCTGGTGATGTCACCAGGCAGGCCAAAACTTCATCCCACTAAAACAGGCTGAAATTTCAGGTGGTCTTTTCAAACAGATCTTACACAGAAAAGGCATTATCATCATTTTCACAATTTCACAGTATTATTCCAACCTCATAGTGTGGAAATATACAGTATATAAAAGACAGAACAATCATGTTTTTGACTGCACTGGGCCTTTAAATCAGCCATAGATCCCCTTGTGACAGGGGGGATGGAAGCTTGTTGTGTGGGAGGGGCAATTGAATGCAAGCGTAACAAAAACAAGTTCATTGTGAAAACATTTCGAGCCTGTCTGTCTATGGGCAACAGGGTTGACGTGTTTTGCTCGACCCTCTCAGTTTTCCACCACAAAACAGCAGAAAATGGCCAACAAGAGTAGAACCAGCTGCTTTTACACTATGGTTTGACTATTATATGTTTGGAATATTTAAAAAGGAATAGTTTCACCATATTAAAATGTGAGTTCAGATCACGTAACAGGGTTGACCTTAAAATTAGGGAAATATTGTTTTTTTCCCCCTTAAAATGAGCCACTAATCACATTAAAGAAATAATCATCTTCAGAAATGACTTTGTCAAAGCAACAAAATAACTAAGGCTTTACAATGATGGTGAAAACTTGGAGAAATGTTGCGGTTAATTGGGTTAAAATCTTCCTGAAAGTCACAGAGGATGTCAAAATGCTGAATTTGGGCACTTTAGCAAGTCTTTATTCAAATTATTGAATTTATTAAGTTTTCAATATTTGTGCACAAGTTCTACTTAAAATATCAAAGGGGCGCAAAAGGCACTCATTTTTGGGAACGACCCATAACGCAACATTGTATTTCATAGATACAGTGGGGGAAAAAAGTATTTAGTCAGCTACCAATTGTGCATGTTCTCCCACTTAAAAAGATGAGAGAGGCCTGTAATTTTCATCATAGGTACACGTCAACTATGACAGACAAAATGAGAAAAGAAATTCCAGAAAATCACATTGTAGGATTTTTAATGAATTTATTTGCAAATTATGGTGGAAAATAAGTATTTGGTCAATAACAAAAGTTTCTCAATACTTTGTTATATACCCTTTGTTGGCAATGACACAGGTTAAACGTTTTCTGTAAGTCTTCACAAGGTTTTCACACACTGTTGCTGGTATTTTGGCCCATTCCTCCATGCAGACTTTCAACTCCCTCCAAAGATTTTCTATGGGGTTGAGATCTGGAGACTGGCTAGGAAGGAGGTTTTCACTCAAAATCTCACGAGACATGGCCCCATTCATTCTTTCCTTTACACGGATCAGTCGTCCTGGTCCCTTTGCAGAAAAACAGCCCCAAAGCATGATGTTTCCACCCCCATGCTTCACAGTAGGTATGGTGTTCTTTGGATGCAACTCAGCATTCTTTGTCCTCCAAACACGACGAGTTGAGTTTTTACCAAAAAGTTCTATTTTGGTTTCATCTGACCATATGACATTCTCCCAATCCTCTTCTGGATCATCCAAATGCACTCTAGCAAACTTCAGACGGGCCTGGACATGTACTGGCTTAAGCAGGGGGACACGTCTGGCACTGCAGGATTTGAGTCCCTGGCGGCGTAGTGTGTTACTGATGGTAGGCTTTGTTACTTTGGTCCCAGCTCTCTGCAGGTCATTCACTAGGTCCCCCCGTGTGGTTCTGGGATTTTTGCTCACCGTTCTTGTGATTATTTTGACCCCACGGGGTGAGATCTTGCGTGGAGCCCCAGATCAAGGGAGATTATCAGTGGTCTTGTATGTCTTCCATTTCCTAATAATTGCTCCCACAGTTGATTTCTTCAAACCAAGCTGCTTACCTATTGCAGATTCAGTCTTCCCAGCCTGGTGCAGGTCTACAATTTTGTTTCTGGTGTCCTTTGACAGCTCTTTGGTCTTGGCCATAGTGGAGTTTGGAGTGTGACTGTTTGAGGTTGTGGACAGGTGTCTTTTATACAGGTAACGAGTGGAGGACAGAGGAGCCTCTTAAAGAAGAAGTTACAGGTCTGTGAGAGCCAGAAATCTTGCTTGTTTGTAGGTGGCCAAATACTTATTTTCCACCATAATTTGCAAATAAATTCATAAAAATCCTACAATGTGATTTTCTGGAGAAAAAAATTGTTGACGTGTACCTATGATGAAAATTACAGGCCTCTCTCATCTTTTTAAGTGGGAGAACTTGCACAATTGGTGGCTGACTAAATACTTTTTTTCCCCCACTGTATGCCAATAAAGCATTATTGAACAGTACATTTAAAATTGAGAGAGAGAAAGAGAGAGAAAAAAAGAGGGCAAGTTAGACAGAGAGAAAAGGGCAAGGAGACAACAAAAACCATACTCACGTTTCAGGAAAGACTCTAAACTCTGGACAAACGGGGCGCACTGGAGAGGTTGGGATCTGTTAAACACCATGTCCAATTCCTTGGGCCGGATGACCAACCCTAAGGGACAGAGAGTACAGTATGAGATCACAACTACCTTCAGGGTCATCAAAAATACATGGTAAATCATAGTTAAATCTACTAATAAAGAAATCAGGGTCACCAATGTTGTTTGGTAAACCCAGAAACCCTTAATTTAAAGGATACCTACATAAGGGCTTCATAACACATTCATAACCCATACATAACACATTCAGAACCCATTAATAACACATTCAGAACCCATACATAACACAGTCATAACCCATACATAACACATTCATCCTTATATAGGTACCCTTTAAATAAAGTGTTGCCAAACAGACAGTATATAAAGAGTTTGGCCATTACTATTACAGTTGAAACCAAAATCCCATCATTCAACAGTGGCAATATTGACCAATAGTAGTCCACAGGATTCTCAGGTTTAAAAAAAAACGCTGACTACCTTAACCGATAAACCTTGTGCTCAGAATGTCCCTGTACGCTAATAATCTCCCAATAATCAATAATCTGCCAATCTGATTCAATTGACTGATTGGTGGATTGATTGGTTGATTTATTGGTTGATTGATTGATTGATTGATTGACTGATTGAATAAATAATCTCCCTGTGGTGCTACTCACCTGGGTGTGGCACCCGGTCACGGTACTTTGGCACATAGTCGTCCAGTGTCAGCAGCATGACCCAAATGGTGAGGACGAACATCCCAGCCAGGAACGCATAGAACACCAGGTAGAACAGGAGGATGAGGCCTGGAGAGAGAGAGAGAGAGAGAGAGAGAGTAGAGAGAGAGAGAGAGAGAGAGAGGAGATAATTGAAGAGAGAGAGGAGAGAGAGAGAGAGATAAAGAGAAGAGAAGAGATGACAGAGCGAGTAAGAGAGAAGAGATAGATAGAGAGAGAGAAGAGAGAGAGAGAATGAGAAAGAGATAGAAGATCGATTAAAAGAGTTTAGAGACAAGATAGATACATTAGACGTACCCTCACTAACTATGTCAGCTTCAGTTTATCCACTATCTCTTCCTCTCTCCTCTCCTCTCTCCTCCTCTCTCCCTCTCTCCTCTCTCTCTCTTCTCTCCTCTCCCTCTCTCTCCTCTCTCTCCCTCTCCTCTCTCCTCTCTCTCTCTCTCCTCTCCTCTCTCTCTCTCTTTTCTCCTTCTCCTCCGCTCTCCTCTCTCTCTCTCGCGCTCTCTCCTCTCTCTCTCTCTCTCCTCTCTCTTATTCTCTCTCTCCTCCCTCCTTCTCTCTCTTCCCTCTCTCTCCTCTCTCCCTCCTCTCTCTCTCTCTCCTCTCTACTCTCTTCTGAAGAGAGTAAGAGAGATTAGACACCCAGACTGTGTCAGCCCTCCGAGCTAAAAGCTAGGTCTACACACATCTGATCACATGAGGGACGTTTGGTGAACTGCCTCTGCCATATTAGTTCATCAATGTGTATTTAGATAATTAATCCATGTAAATGTTAGTCATTTCAATAAGGACAGCTTTCCATGTAAATAACATGATAAGTAGGAAAGGATAGATGAGGACCAATTTCAAGCCTCAGCATTTTGTTGCGCAAAGGTATGCATTTTGTTTTCTTATGATGATAGGCAGAATGATCAAAGATGACAGAACAGCCTAGTATTTTGATTGAGAGGTCCAAGTCTGAAACCTTATCAAATGACAGGGCTGCCCATGGGTGCTGGGCACTGGGCACCCCCATAAGTTTTAGAAATATACACTGAGTATACAAAACATTAACAACATCTGCTCTTCCCATGACATAGACTGACCAGGTGAATCCAGGTGAAAGCTATGATCCCTTATTGATGTCACTTGTTAAATCCACTTCAATCTGTGTAGATGAAGGGGAGGAGACAGGTTAAAGAAGGATTTTTAAGCCTTGAGACAATTGAGACATGGATTGTGTATGCGTGCCATTCAGAGGGTGAATGGGCAAGACAAAAGATTTAAGTGCCTTTGAACAGGTCGTATGCCTAATGTTTGGTACATTCAGTGTATATCGAGCCAGGCCATCCCCAAGAATTTATATATAATTCAAATCCTGCAGAACTGTAATGTCTCTTAATGCATATTAATGTAAATTGCAGAGCCAATATAATATTATAATGGATGTAAGCATTTCATATGAAGCCATTGAACGACATGGGCTATAACATAAGAACTGGGCCTACCATGCAAACAGACAAGCAGGTCGTTCATCACACACTAGGCCTACAGCCTACACCTCTCACATAACCAGCAGAGAATGGAGGATTCTGAAATATTTGCCTCCCCTTCCTACCTCCCACCCTCCCCCCCCTCACTCCACTCTCCTCCAACAAATTCCCATCATGCACCTGCAGCGTGATCGAGGGGGAAACTCATTTGACCTTGACAAGCATGCTAATGTGGGCAGCCATGCAGCCTTGGTGGGAGGAGGTGTTGTGACAGAGTGATAGAGTAGAGGAGCATCCCACTGCACAGCACCACACAGGGTCTTAATGCAAGCTGCTAGCTCGCATAGATAGAGCAAGCTCAGCTCACCATCTTCAAAGTAACCATAGATTACTGCTATACATTGAGGATATAAATTCCATAAATGAGAATATGTTCATGTTTTCTCTTTGTGTGGGTGGTATATCTCACTAGTAACACCAGTGACGGATTTAACATCAAGGTCTTCACATAATCATGCTAGCTGGCTGTTAGATAGCCATAAATTGGTCTGTTCCAGATGATTCCCACTCACATACATGTATTCACATACATGTGCACACACACAACCACACAGGCACACACTGCAGATTTTTTTTTGCATACTACTGATGTAGTACAATACACTACAGAGCAGATATTGATGATTTCTAATCAAATTGTTCTGAAAAGAGAACATTCATTTAATGTATGATCTAATGAATGAATATCATTTGCATATAGTTTATAATTCCAAAATGGGGGGTTTCCAAAGAAGGCCTAGACAAGGTATAGCCCACCTTATATCTCATAAACCGTGTATTTGAGTTGTAGCCTATATGTCTATTTGTGATCTTAATTGGAAATACACTGAGTATTGGTCTGTAATTATTATGCATAAAGGTGGTCTAGTCTCATTCATCTATCTTGCGCTAATCAGTGCTGAAATGTACAAGGTGTCACACACACGCACCATGCGCACACGTACGCGCGCGCGCACACACACATCATGAGAGGCTGACAATATGACGCTTCAAAACCAACGAGACAGAAATAGATTCATTGTCACACTATCAGGCCACCATTGCCTCGCAATGATAGAGACCATGAATTAATGGGTGGATGGAATATAATATTACTATCCGATATTAGGCTATGTGACAATATGCACATCCAAATCGAATAGCCTGCAATTTGATTAATAAAATTTTTTAAAATGGTTTTCGACAGTGGGCTATCCCCCAGCCCCGGTCCAGGTTGTCTTACCCCAGCTCTTCGCTGTGCGCCCACAAAACTCTCCTGTCCTTGGGTTGAAGATAGAATCTTTCCAGCTTCCAGCATTCTCATCCTCTTTCGCCGCCGGTTTGTCTTCATTACTTGCCATGGTGGAAATTTGGGGATGTCTTTTTCTTAAAAAATACGAGGAAAACAGGGCGATGGTATGAGGCGAAATCAGGGATGTAGGCAGTATGTTGTTGGACCAATGGTTGGAATGGAATGGGCGGCACAGTGAAGCAATGATGCTCTTGTTGATTTTTTTTGTTGAAAAATCTGTGACGTTTTCTGCCACTAGCGGCAGCCTCGCTCCGCTACTTAAAGCGCTGCGGCTACACTAGAAGAGCCATGATAAATGAGCGGCTTGGACAGAGTAGGCTAGATTTGAGACACTAAACGAAAACGCTGTAATAACGCTGGATTTATCCATTTATCATGACCTGAGAAAATGTGAGAATATGGTGTACCTAACAAATAAGATGCAAACTAGAAATATCTAGAGATTATGATGATGACAATGATAGGCCTATGCTTCCTATACAGTAATAGGCTATTCATGAATTCCGGCTGTGGTTGAAAGAGCCTAGCACACCTAACATATACCCTATTCAGTTAGACTACATGTAAAATAATGTGTTGAGAATGAGCAACACAGGGAATCAATATGCTCTCTGGTGTGTGTGTGTGTGTGTGTGTGTGTGTGTGTGTGTGTGTGTGTGTGTGTGTGTGTGTATGTGTATGTGGCAACCATATGGTGTTTGTTTGGTTCACATACCCCAATATTGCAGTGAGAGACACACATTCCTTCCAGCATTATTTAACCAAAGTTAACCAATAATCTTCTTATTTCAAAGAGGCATGTTTCATGTTGAATTTGCTTTTAAAATCAAATAATATGGAAGTGTTTCACAACCAGTGTTGTTAGGGCCCCATGTAGCTCAGTTGGTAGAGCATGGCGCTTGCAACGCCAGGGTTGTGTGTTCGTTTCCCATGGGGGGGCCAGGATGAAAAAAAAAATGTATGCACTCTGGATAAGAGCGTCTGCTAAATGACTAAACTGTAAAAATGTTAGGAGTCCCTCCACACACTGTTGCAGTGGCTCATATAAGGCGAGGACATTTGGGGCAAGGTAGGCCTGGGGTGTCAAACTAGCAAGAACTGACTATTCAAAAAACGTTATTGGCTTTGCAAACCAAAAGGGACAATCTTATACCACAGCATTGTTAAATACTATTATCTGATTAGCTAGAAGGACATTCTAGAACGGGCATTAATTAAGCAATATGGCATGAGAACCCGGGGATTATCGTGTGGCCTAACTGCCCAATCAGGCAGGCAAGATGCAGTTATTTAGAAATTAATATTTTACATTTTAGTAATTTAGCAGACGCTCTTATCCAGAGCAACTTACAGTTAGTGAGTGCATACATTTTTCATACTGGCCCCCCGTGGGAATCAAACCCGCAACCCTGGCATTGCAAGCGCCATGCTCTACCAACTGAGCTACAGGAGCCTTCAATATGCATTGAAAACGTCCCGCAGGCTTTTGAGTGGTTATTCAAACAGCCAGGTCACCCGTGATACAAGTCAATATTCGACATCCATCCATGTCTGAGGGCGTCGGGAGATGACGTGGAAACCAGCCGCTAGGGTGCCAAATGACAGTTTACAGCCTAGACAAGAGTTTTGTACTAACTTGAAAACAATAATAACATTCTTCATTATATTGTGTTGTTGTAGCCTAGGAAGAATACATTCTTTGTCCCTAAAAAACTGAATCAATAGAGTAGGTAGCTTTTCGGCTTATTTCAACTTATTTTCTTTACTAATAGCCTATTTGGTGAGAGATGCACGATTGATCTTGCTTGCTGAATGTAAAATAGGCTACAGCATTAAGAACGGGTGGGGAGCTGTAAAGGAGAAGCCCATATTTGCCTATAGTAGTCCTATCTTAACACCGATAAACTACATCCTGACAAAATACACCATATGAGTGGCCTGCTAATGTACCTTTCTGGACCTTAGAAACTGTAGAGAATAGACCCAAACTGATCCAGATGGTTGCATAATCAGGCCTAGGCTGTATGCAGTTATTTCGGCATGAAACTAAACAGGAAGTTTGCGCGGTTATTCAAATTAGCTTACGTCACTGCAGTTTACAGCCTGCAGACAATAATTGTGTACTCACTTGATAACAATAATATATTCGTCATTGCACTGTTGTTGTAGCCCAGGTAGAATAATTTTATTGTCTAAAAACGTAGGCCTAGGCCTAAGAAATAGTGGAGTTTTGAGTTTGTGGGGACAACAGAGCGCAGCATGGAGGAACGGACTGATCTGCCATTTCATAATCTGTTAAACGCTTTCCCATACAATCACCCAGGTTTCCATATTTCTTCTGACTTGCCCTCTTTCTTCACCTGGCAAAAGCCTTCCATAGAGGTCATCCATGAATGAAATGAGGCGCTCTGTGTTGTATGGCCCAATTAGTGGTTTATGTAACAGCAATCCTTCAGAGGATATTGCGGCACACTTTGTGATGTTGGCATCCCTCTGGCCCGGGACATTCACTGTTGCTCTTTTCCCAATCACATTCCTTCCACATCGGCGTGTTTTGGCCATGTTAAAACCAGCCTCATCCACAAAGACAAACATGTTGGGTGTTGGCCTGGCTTCAAGCTCCATGACACTCTAAAATATTGTAAATCCACAGGGCAACATAACAGTTATTCTACAACAGTAGTTTACATTACAGTATACTGTAACTGAAATCACTGCTGAGTGTGCAGTGCTCTGGTGGGTTGTATTTACAGTAAAAACAGTACTGTATTACAGGATATAGACATCTTACCTTGACATATTGGTACCGGAGTTCCTTGACACGATCAGAGTTCCTCTCAAAGGGACACCTGCTTCATGCTGATATGATGTTTTGTCAAGACTCTAGCAATGGTTGTCGTGCTTACACTTCAACATTTTGAAATGTATTATTGTCTGCCAACACTCTCTCTTGAATTTCTCTGAGTTTTATGGCATTGTTGCTAATTACCATGTCAACAATTACAGCTTCCTGCTGAGCAGAGAAAATCCTACCTCTCCCCCCTCCATTTGGTAACCGTTGGGTCCTTAAACAGAAATAGTGGTTCGGAGAGCTTTTGCTCGATTTACTACTCTACAGTAATATTCAGTAATGTTAGATGCCCATGCAGAATGCATATCTTACCTGTTAGTTTGCTGGAAGGTTCTTATAATAGATTACACAGTTGAGCGTTGCAAATTTGGCTGCACTCTGAGACCAGCATCTCTCATTGATAGACCATGATTGACAACAAGATCAATGATTGTAGCCCTAATCTCATCTGACACTACAACTCTGGGTCTTCCCCGCAGTCGTCTTCCACCACGGATACGTAATCCTCTGCCTCTCCTGGCAACTCTTCCACCTCTGTAAGCCACTACACGATCTCTGGCTGGGTCCATGTTTACGTAAAATATATTCCAAAGATGTCCCCTTTTGTAGAGATGGTAATGACATAAAAATGGAAAACACCTGGGTAGGTCTTCAGTTACGTAATGTAGAATGAAAATCAGCTGTGAATATGGAAGAGTTATTATTATTATTATGTTAATTTTATTTTAGAATTTCTATTTTGCTTTTACTGTTGCAATGTAAAAAATTGCAGTCTATTCAATTTTCAGTAGCTTTTGAACTTGAGTTTAACAGGTTTGATAAGGGTATCTTAACATTTGCAAAATGGTCTGTTGATACATAGAGTTTTGTTGGTAAATGTGTTTTTGTGAGACAAGTATTTATGTAATTTGAAAGATGTTGTCATTGAATGCATTTTGTGTCAAAGCAATGACGAATGATCCACAGGTTGCCACATAGAGTGTTGTTGTGATAACTGTTTTAGACTTTTGCACATGTATCCGCAGTATTGAACAATGCTTGTTAGCAATCGAAAAAAAACGGTAAATATTTTATTAATACTATTTCTTCCTTCCACAAGATATGGTCCCGACACAAATCTAGGGTTGCTACCCAAGCCGGCTGGCCGTTCGTTCTATCGGTTCGGTTGCCAGAGACGCGACCCAGTAGTTAAGTATTTTTGTTCTGTATCTATGGACGCGACCCAGTCGTTCATTCTAAATGTTCTAATGCCATTCTGGCTGGCAATGTTCTTATCCCTTGCTTGCTAGCTAGCCAACTATAGCTGACTTACAGTTACGTCAAAAAGCCAAAATAATAACAAAGTAGCTACATTTTCATTTCTTTAAGCTGTTTTCTAGTGACATTTATTTGGACACATCCATAACAATGAGCTAATAATGCGCAATTTCACCTGGCATAGAAAATGTGCTCTCTCGTCAGGACACTATGTTGTTCAGAAGAGCTAGCCAACAACACAGCTAACACAATCACTTCAAACTGAAGCTGGAAAGACTGCATACTAGCTGCACTTCGTTTCATTTTATGTGTTTTCTATTGACATTTCTTTGTATATATCCATAAAAACGATGCTGATTCATGATTTCGACAGGCTGAGAAAAGCTGCCTGCCTGTCTGTCTCATCCCAACTCGTTAATTACTATGTGACAGCTGGAGATCGAATTTGAATATTGAATCAATGTTGCAAATGTCGGAGAGACAGACAGCAAAGTTTATACAAATATTCGCTGTTGAAAACTAAATGTTAGGAATGCTTTTTATAGTGGAGATCAAGTTTAGAAATTTCCTGGCTGGGCTGATGAGACAGTGGATTGCACAGTCAGATGGAACAGAGTAAATAGGCATTCTAACATAATAGATTTAGCCGGTGGTAATTTGTGGAATAGACACCGGCAGGAATGCGGTTTCAACCAATCAGCATTCAGGATTAGACCCACCCGTTGTATAATTAGCTAGATAGATATTTGGGGCTTTTAACAATCGTGGTTGCCATGGAAATACAGCATCAATGAAATGCAATGCCAGCAGACTGAGCAAGAGAGAGAGCGAGAGAGAGATGAGAGAAAGAGAGAAAACAGAATTTCCTCAAAATGTAGGATTTGTGGACCCGAGGGAGAGTGAAGTATAGCTATATAAATAATTACCTAAGGCCCCACACACAACACCCCAACACCCACGCACGCATTGATGCACAATGACAGAGCACAGTGTGTGTATGTGTGTGTGTGTGTGTGTGTGTGTGTGTGAGAGAGCGAGAGCGAGAGCGAGAGATAGAGAGAGCAACAGAGTGAGAGAGTTATATAACGTCCATTTATTTAATGTTCTGTGGAGAGA